ACGACAAAATCGCAATGCGAAATGAAATCACAACGACAAAATCGCAACGCGAAACACAAATCGCATTCCGATTTTCATTTCGCGTTGCGATTTTCATTTCGCATTGCGATAGCCATTTCCGCGTTGCGATAGTCATTTTCGTGTTGCGAAAGTAAACTATTCTTCTTCTGCAAATTGAAACTTGAATGGATTGCATTACTTCAACCAAAAGACAAAAACAAAACCAAAAACAAATACTAACAAAAATAGTTTAGCAGTATTGGCAGCAACCGAATGAATTACGAGTATGAAAAATCTTAAACTTACCTCGTTGCGTAGAGTATGAACCTCATTCTGCAACGATGCTACCATCTCACGTAGAGCGGCTACCTCACCGCGTAATGTAGACACCTCAACACGCCATGCACCATCGTCTTTGCGTAAAGTAACGACCTCCTCACGCAAGGCATTGACCTCATCACGTAACTCCCCTAACTCATCCCGTTGAGGTGGAGGTGGAGAACAGGGAGATAAACGTCGTGGCATCTTTGCCGGTCGCCTATCTTGCGGTGATGGTGGAGAAGAGGCTCGATGATATGACAGAATAGGTGATGGTTGTCGTTGTGGAGGTGTATAGTCGGGTCGATCAGATGATGGCTCTGGGTGAGGTGATAGCTAGGGGCGAGGTGATGGCTCCCGAAGTGGAGGCTGCTCATCAACCGTTCCATCAAAAAAACGCTTACTAGCTTGCCACCAATCAGTGGCAAGCTCAGCTTCCGTGGGTGTCAGCCTCTGTAGAGGAGTGTTGGCCTCCTAACAATAAAAGCTCAAACAAAGTTAAACGTGTACTAGTAATAACTTGTTTATAAACATATGGTAGTATTTATGTTAACTTACATTATTTATTGTCGTATACCGTAGTAAATCTCTCATTGCAAGGTCCGTTTCCTCTTCCAGGAAATAGCCCTGGGAATATCATTTGAAGTTTTTATTGCATATGTCTTCATGGCGGGAAATGCCTCAAATATCCAAATCTACAAACAATATAATAACAAACATTAGTAATTGTTAAATAATTACTTATAATTTTGGAAACATTATATAAAAATTCTTACCTTAAAGGCCCAAATAAAGCCTGTCAAAGTGTATTTGGAACCATCGCCATGCAAACTTTTTGATCATCCAAGGCAGACGATAACTTATTCCATGTAGCTTTCCATAAATACGAGCCCCACGGAAACAGGTTCCACGCATTTAGGTCTTCTACCAATTTGATTAGATCATTTGGAATAGGTTGTCTGGCCTCTCTGCCTAAAAAGCCGGCATGCAAAAGAATTAGAAGGCATACTCGGACAACGTCGACGTCATCCATCCGAGTAAAACCATCTTTCTTATTCAACAATCTTGTCAGGTCTTCTACGTGTAGATTCGGCCTCTCCAGCTCAAGAAAAACCCGGGATAGCCATGATGGGCGGGTAATGTGTCTAGTGTACCGACCTACATCATCGTGTCCGAAGCGTAGACCGGTGATTAAGCAAAACTCCTCCCGCCCAAAACACGTATACGCCGGTGGAAAATCAAACCATATCTCTTCATCACGACGTTGTATAGTCTCTGGTAGATCGCTAGTCATGGTTTGAAGAAACAGGTGTGTCAACATCTCATCTCCACCGGGATGTTGTACTTTCAGCCATGGCCCGAAGCATGTATCCTCAAACATTTTTATTTGTGCAGGTGAAAGCTTCGACGCAATTGTTTGGCCAGGCTGACTTTATTTCTTAAGGTCAATTGAGCCGAATAAAGTTCTACAAAAACAATAAACATACTAAGTTAGATATACCAAAAACTACACTGTGAAGATATACCAAAAACAATAATAAACATAAAGAGTAGTAGTTTATTCTTCAAACTTAAATTTGCAACACTGTGAATTTCGTATTGTCTTTGTTTTTTGGTTGAAGTAATGCAATTCATTCAAGTTTCAATTTGCAGAAGAAGAATAGTTTGTGAAAATGAAAACCGTAACACGAAAATGACTATCGCAACGCGAATTTGACTATCGCAACGAGAGAATCACAACGCGAAACTAAAATCGCGTTGCGATTTGCATTTCGCGTTGCGATTCTCGGTTGATTTAATAAGCAATCTAAGTGAAATTGTTAATCTATTATTGAAATTACCAGTAAACTTATCATCAATTTCAATATGAAAAACCTAATAATAATGCAAAAATTTCAAAAAGAAAATAATTAAAAAAACTAACCCTCGTTGGTTGATTTGGTTGATTTTCCATTTCTGATTGTGAGGGTGGCTCTGAGAGAAGGAGATAGACGGATTTCGCCGGAGATGGGGAGGGATTTCGTCGGAGATGGGTGAGAGAGTGAGAGATGGAGATGGGACTGAGTTGTGATTTTAGGTTTTAGGTTATGAGTTGCGATTACGGGATATACTGTGGACGGTTCAGTGTTCCAATATATTAATATTCGTGTTTGGAATTTAAAAATAAAATACTTGGCCAGGATACTAATGGCGCTTTGAAAATCGCATTGCGATTATGTATTATCGCGTTGCGAAAGTCAGAATCGCGTTGCGAAAGTCAGTATCTCGTTGCGATTTGTATTATCGCATTGCGATAGTAAGTATCGCATTGCGATTTTCCCAATTCGCGTTGCGATTTACTTATTCGCATTGCGAATTGGGAAAATCGCAACGATACTGTAGACCATCGCAACGATACTGTAGACTATCGCAACGCGATTTTCAACTATCGCAACGCGAAATGCAACGCGAATTTGCGATAACGGAGACCGCGTTGCGAATTAACGATCGCATTGCAATTTTGTTGGTTATTTTGGTAAATCTAGAAAAAGTTGATTAAAATCGTATATTATATGGAATTTTTGGTCACTGAGGTTATTTTCTCTTTTTTAAATGTAAAAGATTGATCCCAAGTCATAAAGTTAAGAGTGAGGGATCTTGGATAAATATATTGTATCAATTAAGTTTAATAAATATGTTTTAATCTTTTAAAATAACAGCGACATTAATCTATTAATTTTTTTTGTATGACAAATAGTAGTACGTGTGCATACGCACGTAGAACCTTCCTCAATATAGCTCTCGGGCGTTTTGATCATATAAATCACCAAGTGGGACAGACTAGAATTCATGGTATCTCGTGTCCACCATTCGACTTGGTCTTAAATAATGACTCACTCCCTTCAAAATATCAAACCAAGTGGGACAGACTAAATTCCCGCATCTCTCGTAGTTGCAGCTGGCAGCCTGTTTTCATTATGGCGGTAAATGAGACGAGACAGATCGCGAGTTAGTTAAGATCGATTGATCTAGGCTCGATAAATACTCGAATCAAATAAATTCAACTCGAGCTCGACTCGAGTTCTTAACGATCCGAAACGATCTACTAGATAAACTCGAGCTTGTGGGATATTTAGGGATATATCTATTGTTATTTAAAAATTTTAAATTCTCATAACTTATTTTTATATAATTTTTCATTAAAAATACGTTTTAGTCTCCTTTTAATTTTATAACTTCTCTCCTTCAAATTTTATAAATCCACAAATTTATATGAAAGATGATCTTATTATATTCCTCTCTAAAAAATTATTGATACAGTCATTGTGCCATCTTACTACATACGAGTACATACAAATACACACATATATATATTGATATTTGAATTTAAATTCTAAATTTAATTTAGTATATGATTTTTTAATTCAACTACATACAGAAGTTTGATTTTAAAAAACAAGCAACAATACCGTCTATATATATGATTAATTTGTTTAATAGTCTAAAGTGATTATAAGATAATATCCATTTAAAATTTTTGTTAGTTATCGACAACGCACACATATCTATAGAATTAACCACTTAAATCTAAAATTTCTAATAAGAATATCACTCCCATTAACCACTAATTCATTTAATAAATTCATAAATCATTTAAAGTTTGTATGGTAAAGTCAGGATATTTAAATTACAATGTTAATTTAAAAAGTATATATATATATATTGCGAAAAACTAGATGTCAGTCACATGACTCCACCTGTGGAAGTTTAAAAAGATGATCCACATAATTAACAAGAGTTGGATTTGAGTAATCAAGGACCCAAGACTTTAGTCTCCATCAACTGTAGGAAAGTTTCATTAGCATAAAGCTTTAATTTTCTAAGTAAAAACAATTTATTAATTTAATTATTTTTTATCGTCTAAATTTTACTTTAATTGATATTATTGTAATTACAATATCTTACTATGGATTCAATATTGTTTAACTGCATACCAACATTTAATTTAAAGACCGGAAGGATTATGGGAAAAAGGTCGGACCTTGATTTTTAAAATCCAACTTAATTCATATTTTAAACGAGCTAATTACTTTTTCACAACCTTACGTTTTCAATTAATATCTTTAGTTTAATCATCTTAAATATTTTTTAAATTAATAATTGTTATCCGATATATAGATCGACTAATCAAGATCGGATATTACTGACAGAAAAATGAACCTCCAATTCAGTTTACTCTCTTCGTCAGAGTTCAAACTCTTAACCTTACTTAAAAACTCGTACCAACTTTAGCGGATATAGGATGCAGTCATATAAAAAGATAGATTCTATAAGGGGGGAACAAAAAGGATATGGAGATTTAACTTTAGCGTTTAATGGTAGTTGAAGTAAGATCATCCTAGATACGTGTGTAAATCTCAGAGAATGTTTCGTGAATTGAGGCGTAGTTGAATCCACAAAACAAGGAGAAAGAAAGAGGGATTAAATTGGAAGAAAAAAAAGAAGAAGAGTATATTCCTCAAACTCAGCCTACTACACTGACGACGATGAAGTTGAGAGAGACGTACGTGATGTGTTGTTGTAGTGGCGTTTCTGATTTTATATAAAAAGCACAACAATCCCGCCATTTTTTCCCATCATCTCTCTCCTTCCTCCACAACTTTTGAGCCTCTGTTTTTTTTTCAAGAGATTTCTGAGTGTTTGGAGCAAAAACCAAACGTTTCAAGCCTTCCCTACTATAGAAAATCACCACCACCAGCAACACCAACGTTAAATGAATTCAAGATTCAAACGTGTTTGTGTGTTTTGCGGTAGCAGTCCCGGCAAGAATCCTAGCTACCAGCTTGCTGCTATTCAGCTCGGCAAACAACTGGTATTTATATATGAACCTTTTTCTAAAAACTTGTCCTTTAATCTTCTTTGCCTGTTAAATACTGGGTTATTTGGTTTTCACATCGACACCCAAACCGACGATGAGAGGAATTCAGCCTTCTTCATCCTTGAGTTGCTCAAAGTAAAGCTGTTTTCGCTGTTCAAAGTCATCCATTGATTTGAGTTTTACTGATATTTAACTCTTTTTGTGATAAAGTAGTAGTGGGGAGCGGAGAATATATAATTTAAATTAGACACGTAAAGTTTTAATAAAATGGATAAAGTAAAACGTGCAGGTTGAAAGGAACATTGACTTGGTTTATGGAGGAGGAAGCATTGGCTTGATGGGCCTCGTCTCTCAAGCTGTCTTTGATGGCGGCCGCCACGTGTTGGGGTAAATCCCATTTTTCTTAATTATTACTGCTATTTTTACAGTTCCAAAGACTCTTATCTAATTTTCTGAAACCCCTTTCTTCCAGGGTAATTCCCAAGACTCTGATGCCAAGAGAGGTAAAAATCTGAGTTTCGGGTTTCCATTTGATTACATAAAAATAATGGGTATGTCTCCTCATTAAATTTGGGGTTTTGATATCAGATTACAGGGGAGACAGTGGGAGAAGTAAGAGCAGTATCGGGCATGCACCAACGTAAAGCTGAGATGGCTCGTCAAGCTGATGCCTTTATTGCCTTACCAGGTGGGTATGGAACCTTGGAAGAACTCCTGGAAGTCATCACTTGGGCTCAGCTTGGAATCCATGAAAAACCTGTAAGAATTTCCCCCCAGATTTTCACAAGCAAAAAAAAAAATGCATAATTGAATACCCAAATTGAGTGCTTTTGGCATAACAGGTGGGATTATTGAACGTGGATGGGTATTACAACGCACTCTTATCATTCATTGACAAAGCTGTTGATGAAGGTTTCATAGCAGCAGCTGCCCGGAACATAATTGTCTCTGCCCAAACCGCCCAAGATCTCATGTGCAAGCTCGAGGTACGTTTTTAACCCCAAACTCAGTATTGCTGATCAATATTTCAAATAATCTGAACCGTCCATTTCCGTTCTTGGGTTGAATTTTGAGCACAGGAATATGAACCTAAACATTCTGGGGTAGCCAAGTTAAGCTGGGAAATGGAACAACAACTGGGTTTCACAGCAAAATCAGAGATTGCTCGTTGATCCCAAACCAGCTTTCGTTTTACATTCAATCACAGTTTTATGACCGTAGATTCTTACAACCCCCAACAGGCAAAACAACAACAACAACAACCTTGTAGACTCAAAAGATCCGAAGACAAGTTCCAGTTTTCAATTTGTGAATTCCTTTTTGTTTGTTTGTTGTAATGGTTTAAGTAGAATTCTTACAAGGACAGAACAGTGTCGGTGATTATATTAGCTTTGCTAAATTATGTATACTTGTTTTATTGTTCTTCGTTTCTGGAAATTGTAGGTTTTTGTTGTTCTAAATTGCTTTCAAGTTTCAACAAAAAGTTGTTGATAAGGTTGCAGAACAATGAATCAGGGGAAGACCTCAACTTTCAGTTTATAAAATTTGGATCATTATGTACGACGGGTCAAATGGATTGGCTAAGAAAGGCGTGCAAAAGCACAGACGTTAGTCTAATAATTGTTGATGATGGAGAGTTTTCAAAGAACAGGACCACGTTTGGGGGTGGGGTGATTCTGAGTGGGCACTGCAGCAGATTAAATAAAAAAGGTAAACGACACCTGTTATTGACTGTACTACAATGCGCAACGTGTGTCAAAAAAACACAGAGAAAGCAACGGTGGAGAGGGGTGGACCGACCTCCTTACCCACCCCCAACAAAGCAATTAGCCTTTGATGCCTGTCGTCGGTAATAGATGATCCCGCTTTGCGTTTGTAAGTGGCAATTGGCTTTTTACGACTTGGACTGACCTTTTGACCCAAAAGGAGGAAGGGAACCCCAAATCCCCCTTTCCACTGATGTTTTTGTAGAAGCACTATCTTGGCTGTGTTGGCCATGGATCCATAGTAGTTCCAAGGAGACTAGCGAGTTTAAGGGTCACAGAGGTATATTTCTTTTTCAACTATACATGAATATTGATTTTTAATATTGGTGTCATATTTTTAGAATAATATCGATTATTTGTAGACTGACAGCGTGAAAATATGATGGTCTATATATATTTAATTGACAAATCATATGATTTACGCTATTAAAATCTGTAATAATGATTTTTCGTACGTATAAATACATACAAACCAAATATGTAATAATGATTACAATGTGGCTATATTTTAAGAGAAGGATTTAAGTGCAGAAGATGTGGCGAGCAAAGTGGAGGAGGCCAACAATGAGAGCACTGTTATACGTGGTTGGCATCGAGTTGTTCCGGGAATCTATGAGTGTTTCATTTAATTTAGGAAAGGCCCTCCCACAAAAGCACCAACACCTACATTAGGATTGGGTTTCGGTGAAGTTAGCCACTAGAAGCCATCGCCGTCGCTGTAACAGGTGGTTGCATCGATCGGAATCGAAGCTCCTCTATGATGCACATATTGTGGGTATTTATCGCCCTACCCCACAAGAAAGTTCATCTTCAAGGGGTCACAGCATTGCCCAATCAGATTCCTTCACCAAACTTCAACAGTAGCAGATTGCTAATAGAACCATGGATAAACTACTTGTTCCCAGTACTAAACCTCAAATCTGAGTCTATTAGTTAAAGTGCTCCTTAAAGGAAGCAAATTTCAATAAAAAGCAACAAGCTTAAATATAAACAATATATATGCGCACACACACACGTACATGCATAAGAGAAAGACGGTGAAGAAAGGATACATTTTTTAATGTCAAAGAATTGCATTGCCAACTTGAGAGCATCAGAATACTTGTTGTCGATAGGACCTGGAACGGGAAGGGGCTTATTATCCTTTTCGTTATCCATTCTCTTCTTCACTGTATAAACAATAGCTCCCGGTCCACAACCAGAGCCAATATTACTAGCACCAGAAACCACCCCATTTTTTCCCTTTTTTCTGAAGAAGTATTTTCATTTCATATGCCAATAGCATCAAGAAGAACAAAGTTCTTAATACAAACCGGTTCATCAAAGTAGAACCAAAAGGGGAAGAAAGCGAAAGAGCGCATTTAGCAAGGGCGTGAGCCACTCTATTAGCGGTTCGTCTAACATAGAACACCTTACAATTCAAATGTTGATTTAAACGCTCACGAGCCTCCTTCAACTTCAATCTGATAACCGAAATATCTTCTTGGCTATTCGTTAAACGATCCACTATTGAGATTGCATCGCCTTCAATGATATTCTCGTTCCAGCCATTCTCAATAGCAAAATTAATGCCATGAGTAAAAGCTTCAGCTTTCGTCGACTCCAAAGTGTGGCAATCTTCAAGTTTTCTAGCAAAAACCCCAACAACCATTCTGAATTGGTGTAACACTCTATACCAGTATGACACACAGTCAACCAATTTAGGGCGCTACACAGAACCACCGAAGTGGCTGACCGACTTTTTCTTACTTTATTTAAATATAAAACAATTGTAAAATAAACTGAAGAATAAATAAAGCCTTTATACTAAGGAGCTCCAAATTAAAATATTTACTCTTTACAAAAATAATACAGACCGCTCTACTGAAACTACAACTCAACTGGACAATAAAGTTTACAAATATACATGCCCTCTCAAAAATGCTGAGACGTACTCAAAATCTGCACTGGTCTGAAATGAGTTTTAGTCTATCAACTGCTCCACGCCTGCTGGATCCACTGACCTGCCCATGGAAACAATCTGAATGCTGAGTTAACTAGCTCAACGACACACTAATAGCTAAAATATACTAACTGCATATCACTAAAAGACTAGCTATCAAGTATACTAATATGATCTGCTTAGTGAATATTCTTGCTATATTCATTCTCTACGCTACTGTAGACATTATGATGCGACTGAGGAATTACTGCATCTCGGAGCTCATACACCCCACTAGTCTACTGGGAAATGGCCCCCGAAATTCTACATATGACATTATATCTCTGCCTAACCCACCCCTTGCAAGTGTCAGGCCTCGACCTTAATTAGTCTGTTTGAAGGGCTTTGCACCCTACCTAAGGATATATTCGGACTGCATCTATACTTTTGACCCCCTGAACTAAAGGAACTCGGGTGTTCGAATCGTTTCCCGGACATCAAAAAAGGCTAGTCTTATTTGTCCCTAATTATTTGGTTTCTACGTTTGATTAACTATTAATATTGTTCCACTTGTAGTCTTATTTGATGATATATTAAAGTGTTGGGTACCTCAAGTCTAATTTCCTTAAAAACTAACTTTTTTTTTGTCTAAAACAAACTAAAAGTTTCGATACTAGCCTAAGAGAATCGATACTCCTGCAAAAGTTTCGATACTTTATATAAGTACCGATACTTTTAAACATTTTGTTCTGCCTAGTTGCGAAACTATGACCTAAAGTTTCGATACTCTTGAAAGAGTTTTAATACTCTTGCCCAGAAAACACGATTTTACCCAGAAACGAAGAACAAATATCGATATTAACCCTATAATATTGATACTCTACCTACAGAAGTCATAAAACATGCACAAGAAACTCTATTTTTCAATTCCAAACACCCTAGTGAGGTCCCCAGACATTCTTAAAGTCTTATGTGATATTAAGGGAGCATAACTAAGGCTTAGAAACATGTTGAAAACATTAAACATAAAATCTACCATGGAAGGCTAATAAACATGCTCATACTCAACTTTCAAGCTAAACTCCTTTCTAATGACTCCTTGGTTGCTAAAACCTCTCCCAATTCTACTAGTAATCACTTTTCATTTGTTTCTAGCTTTGATACTATCTTCTCTTTCTTTAGCTAATCATAGACAAATCTAAGAGTTACTAACTAGTTTTTGACTTGGAAACTATAATAAAAACATTTTATACAACTCAAATCCTCTCAATTATCTTATATTCTCGAATTCTATAAACCTCCCCATAAACCCATTTTCTAAAAACTTAACCAAAACCTAAGATTAAGAGCTTGAAATGAAGCTTGAGAGAAGGAGAATAAAACTCTTACCTTGGTGGATTCAAACTAAACTTGAAATTCCTTAAAGCTTGATCTTGGCTAACAAGAAGAAATGAAGAAAAAGAGTCCAGAGAAAAAGAAAATGGGAAGATAATGTTTGGGGAATGCCTCACGTCAAAAATAAGGGAGATAAAGGGTTTTTAACCTTTAAAATAAATTATGAGTAAATTACATTTTTAGTCATTATCCCTTTAACTCACTTTTAAAAACATCATTATCCTTTAACTATTGGGCCAACCTAAGTTCAATGCCCTTTTTGAACTGGTCCAACTATCTTAAAAGATCTAACTAGCTTGACTTACAGGTTTCGAGTTGACTCAAACTATTGATCCAAGTTTCGAGGCTTTACAACTGGTCCCTTGCTACAACCCCAATAGCAGTCTCTCCAGATTCGGGGAGCCACGCACCATCCACATTGATTTTTAGGCCTCTTTCAGCTGATTTACTCCAAGAATCAGCATTCTTGCTAATTTGTATATTGTTTCCATCTGAAGGGGTTGTGTTTGCCCATTTAAAGGAGGCTCCGAGAATCCAAGCGGCTTGAATAACTTCCCACGCCTCTTGCATCTCTTGATCGTGAAGCCACAAATTGCGGCAGTTCCAGACATTCCAAAGTAAATTGAGCACAGAAACCACCCCAATAATCCTCCGGACTTTGATTCTTTCCCCATTATTTTTGTCACTTCAAAATCCGATACTGGAGATCGAGTCATAAATTTGTTTCATTGGTAACTTCTTGGAGGACATGAACACTGACACTGGAGTTAACTAGCTCAACGACACACTAATAGCTAAAATATACTAACTGCATATCACTAAAAGACTAGCTATCAAGTATACTAATATGATCTGCTTAGTGAATATCCTTGCGATATTCATTCTCTATGCTACTGTAGACATTATGATGCGACTGAGGAATTACTGCATCTCGGAGCTCATACACCCCACTAGTCTACTGGGAAATGGCCCCCGAAATTCTACATATGACATTATATCCCTGCCTAACCCACCCCTTGCAAGTGTCAGACCTCGACCTTAATTAGTCTGTTTGAAGGGCTTTGCACCCTACCTAAGGATATATTCGGACTGCATCTATACCCTGAACTAAAAGAACTCGGGTGTTCGAATCGTTTCCCGAGCATCAAAAAAGGCTAGTCTTATTTGTCCCTAATTATTTGGTTTCTACGTTTGATTAACTATTAATATTGTTCCACTTGTAGTCTTATTTGATGATATATTAAAGTGTTGGGTACCTCAAGTCTAATTTCCTTAAAAACTAACTTTTTTTGTCCAAAACAAACTAAAAGTTTCGATACTAGCCCAAGAGAATCGATACT